GTTTTGAAGTTCCTTTGTCTTATATTTTGAAAACTCACTAATAATTTTAAACATTATCAAATAGTCAGACAGTTTTCAAATTTCCAATTGTCTTAATAATATAGTTCTAAAAAAATTTGGGTAAATTAAGTATTGAAGGAAGACATCCATGCAGCATTGAAGGTACTGGCACAAAAAGGCTTTAGTAATGGACTACCAACTGAGATGCTTCAACAAACTAATGCAATAGTGAAAGCACTTACTCATTTATACCAAGCAATTTGGAAGACAGCTATCTAGAAAATCCACTAGAAGAGATCCACTTTCCTGCCCTTCCAAAGAAAGCTGGTCCAAAGGAATGGGAACATTAACAATACCACTAATATCACATGCTAACAAAATGTGGATAAAGATATTTCAAAAACAGCCATAGCCAAATATTAACAGCTAACTGTCAGAAACTCAAGCCAGATTCAGAAGATGCGGAAAGAAGGATATCTTTGCTAATATCAGATGTATCTTGGCTGAAAGCAGAAATAACAGAAGGATGCTTACCTACGTTTTATTGGCTGTACAAAGATATTAAACTATGTGGGTAATAACAATGATGAGTACCATTGTGAAGAGTGGGGATTCCAGAACACGTACTTACTTGTGCTCAGGAAGAAGTTGGACATAGAGCAAGAGGCAGTCATCAAAGAGAGCAAGGGACTTAAAATCAAACAAGGTGTGTGTCAGGATTGTGTATTTTCTTTCACCATATTTATTCAATCTATATGATGAGCAAATAATGTAAGAAGCTAAATTATATGAAGAATGCATTAATGTTAATCACACTAACAACCTGTGATACACAGGTGACAGAACTTTGCTTGCTTAAAATGAAAAGGACTTGAAGCACATATCGCTGAAGATCAAAGACTACAACTTTCCATATAGATTACATGTCAACATAAAGAAAACAAAAATATTTACAACTGGGTCAATAAACAACAATATTATAAAGGAGAATATATTGAATCTGTCAAGGATATACATTTACTTGGATCAATAATCAATGTTTATGAATGCAGCAGTCAAAAAATCAAACAATGAATTTCTCAGGGCAAATCTGCTGCAGATCTCTTTAAAATCTTAAAAAGCAAAGATATTACTTGGAAGACTAAAATGTGCCTGATCCAAGCCATGGTGTTTTCAATTGCTTCATATATATATGAAAACTGGATAATGAGAAAGATCAATGAAGAATTGATAAATTTGAATTATGGTATTGGAAAAGAATATTGAATATATCATGGATTTCTAGAAGAATGAACAAATCTGTCTTGGAGGAAGGACAGTCAGATTGATCTTTAGAAGCTAGGAGGGCAAGACTTCGTTTCACTAAGTGTGGACACATTATCAGGAGGGATCAATCTCTGGTGATGAATATCATGGATGGAAAAACAGAGGATCAGCAAAAAAGAGGACTACTCCCAATTGACAACAATGGGCTCAAACATGCCTACTATTGAAGAATGAGGCAGTACAGCACTATGTATCACTCTGTTACACATAAGGTCGCTATAAGTCAGAGCCAACTGGACAGCACCTGGACAGTACCACAAGATCAAAACAAAGTCTCTGTATATTGCATAACTCTGCAATCTATGGGTTTCTGACACCATTTCTGTACTAGTTCCCTAAGACCACCATTACAAAGCACTACAAAGTGGATGATTTTAGACAACAGAAGCGTGTTGTCTCATGGTCCTATAGCAACCCTGTATAAGGTTTCCAAGGAGCAGCTGGTAAGCTTGAACCACGACCTTGTGGTTCAAACTGACTTTGCAGTCCAGTGCATTAGCCCACAGCACCACACCAGGACTCTTTAATAGCCTCCTTTTACCTGGTATGATAAATTAGTGTAGACTTGTCTTGTAGATTTCCTGTTCAAGACCTACCACCAGCCATTTCTTTAAGAATACCTGGTTCCATTTGGTGGAAAAGAATTTGGGGAACTTATATTCTGGGTTGATATAAGTTGGAAACAAAGAGAAAGGATCAGTTGTTGGAAAATATGACCTTGGTGATAGAAATGATGCTGGAGACTGCATGATAGAAGTTTGCAAGACTAATGACTTCTTCATTGCAAATACCTTTT